ACCCAGGGACCACTTAGTGTAAGTGTTGGGCCCATTAAGAGCCCATGGTGATGGGCTCAGGGGTTCACTGTGTCCTACAGTGAATTCGGCTAGGCCTTGTAACAGAGGCTGGGCTGAACCCATGTGGCCGATGTGTAGATCAATGTTTGGGTCCCACGCCATACAAGGAAATCAAACTAGGCAGCAGTTTGGAAGGTTAGTGAGCACATCGACTTAATGGGCCTAAAGCCCAAATCGAACTGGTTTAATTTGATTAATTAAAGAGGGGCGGTTCTGGGATTTAGATCAGCAGATAGGATAGGGAGTTATCCCTATCCACTCAAAGAGTCCTGATCCAAATAATGATTTGGATTAGGAAACTCCTAATTAGATTAGGAGGGCTGATCCTGATCTGCAGATAAGATAAGGGTTTATCTTTATCTCTTAAAGAGAGTCTTGATTCAAATAAGGATTTGAATTAGGAAACTCCTAATGAGATTAGGAGCTACTCCCTTTAAGGCTATAAAAGGAGGAGGAGGGCGAACCTCCATTCACTCAAACTGATCTCAGATACAAGAGAGAAAGAAAGCAACAGTAAGACTGTGTCATCTTCTGCTCTTGTCTTCTCCTCCTGCTGCCGCCATTGCCAGTTCGTTCTCCACCAGTAGGAGCAATCAAGAAGTGTTCTTGATATCAGTTTTTGGAGAAAAACTGATCTTAAGTCGTGCTCACATACCCTCCATCGAATTCTTGCTGAAGGATTCGGTTCTTGTGAAGAACCACCTACTGATTCTGCTCCACCCTACACTGTGTCATCTTCAGTGGGAGCAATCTTTGGAGATCTCCTTGGGCGTGAACACCTTCATTGGAAGTTATTATTTCTCCGTATCAAGTATCTCCCTCTCCTACCTTTTGGTTTTAGATCTGGTTCGGTTCTTGGTTCAAGATTGATCCTTGAAAAATGCAGTTTTTCTAAAACAGGGAATATGATTCCCACATGGGAGAGAGAGAAACTTTTTAAATTTCGCCCTACCTTCCTGTAGGGTTCGGCTATCTATATGATGGATCTCTCATCCCTTCAATCATATATATGCAATGACATACGTTTTTTTTATAAGTGATTTTATTAATTAAGAATGATCAATACAGAATGACACAGATAATGCTTTCCCTCAAAGAAGCACAAGATGCTGCCTCGAGCTGATTCCTATGCACCCCTTGCTTAGCTAGACAGCCTGCCGTCCCATTCACTGATCTTATTTCTCATTGAAAGCTGACATAGATGTTTGTGGTTAACCATTTAAATCTCCTCAGTGCTCCCCTAAACGACCAGGTCACTGTCTTTGGATCTTTCAGCCACCCAATTACTAATTTGGAATCACCTTCAATTAGTAATGTTCCATGTTTAGCTCTTTAGAAAACACTGCTCCTTGTAGAACTGCTTGGACTTCCACACTGAGTCTGCCTCTCCAATAGGACCAGAAAATAAAACAATAATCCATCCCTGTGCATCTCTTAAGACTCCCCTAATCCCTGATGGGCCTGCGTTGCCTAGACTGCTACCATCAAAATTTAACTCGATGACACCTTCTTCAGGGGGTTTCCATTCCACCACAGGCTTAAGTCTTCAAACTGAACTATTAGCCACCAAATCCCCATTCCTCCAAATATCCTCGTAGGAGAAAGAAGAGAAGAGATCTAGAGATTTGGCCCACATAACGGCTCTGTTAATGAGGCAATCCCAAACACCAGTCTCGTCCCACACTTTCTCTGTGAATATTCTGGCATCTCTCTTTCCTATCTTAAATAGTATGGCGAGTACTTGAACCATGTATTGATGTTTATTCTTTCTTTTTCTGAAGGATCATTACAGACTACCAATAATTTGGTACTGTTTTCTAGTTTCCATAAATTGTTACTATTAACTTCTATAAACTTGCAGAAACTAATTCAACTTCGATTTGGATCAAAGTTCACACTGAAACCAAAGTTTAAAACCTTAATAGTGGATATGATCCAAAACCATTTTCACATCGAGAAGATTGTAAAAAGAGTATATAAGAATGAAATGGAGTATAATGTAATATACAGTATTCTGAATGGGGACCACAATTCTTCATGATGTAATGCTTTAGTGGATGAACACATCTACTTAATAAAATTTCCCTATCAAAGCTTCCACAATATAAAATAAGATAGAACAAAAAAATGTATATACTTGGTGGTAGTAACCTGCCCCAAAGTTGACCAGTTTCACTGAAGGCATCTGGTGGAACACCACTGACAAGAAGAGGAAAACCACTCCTGCTCTGCACACATATGGAGAACCACTCACCAATAAAGTTAAGGAGATAAATATCTGTTGCAATCCCATGGAGAACCACTCACCAATAAAAATAGCCTCTTATTTGCCCAGACATCCGCACTATGATATCCTACATATATAGGCATATCTCCCATTATACTGATTCCCTTCATATGTGCATAGTTGCGAACTTTCTGCCATTGCCTTTGAAATAAGAACTGTTGGGCAATGAATATGTTTATCTGCATTCGGTGGAAACATGAACAAGTTTCCATAAGGAATAGAAATATCAAATAGAGCAGCTCCAACACACCAATACATGACAGATGCATTCACATTGTTACCCAATACTTACGAAGTCTCTTTGGGTTTGGTAAATTTCCTCCAAGGCTACAAGATGGCGGTTTTTTAAAGGTTCAGGCCAATCATTCCAAGTGAAAGTATTTAGAGCATTGTCAATAGCTGCAAAATAAGCTGCATCTTCTAGCCAGCCTACAAAGATGTAAAGAGAGTTGACAAAGGTGCATGTGGAAGTGGAATTAGTTGGAGATTTAAAAGAAGTTCACCATCCTGGCTTGTTCAAACAATGTGAAAAAAAATCTCAAATACAAAGGTGCATGGCAGGAATACAAGAAATTAGGAAAGGAAAAGATGGTATAAGCTCTGCAACATTAAGTAGCATGCATACGAATGCTTTCTCAGGTCAGCCTTTTCCCTATAATACAATGTGTATCAAGTAAAAAGAAGAAAAGAAAGGGTTAAACATTAGCTTCCATCCAGGGATTCCTTTCCCCCTCAAATCACAAAGTCATCAGTTTGAATGAAATATAAAGGCCAATATACTAACATCATTCATTACACATAATGATCTATCATTTCAAGTGGTGCTAGTAATTCTCACCACCATATAGTTAGAAGTTTTGTAGAGACAGTGAAATCTAGTTGTCGGGCTATTTTTGTACTTTTACTTTTCTTTGTTGTATATCTATTCTTTGTATTATCTGTCTCCTGTACATTAAGGGCAGTTCTGTCCTTTTACAACTTAATATAAATATATCTTTTAGGGTCGTCCTGTTCATGGGCCGGGCATGGGTCGGGCTTTTACTCTTCATTAATGGAAATTTGTTAGGCCCGAGCCCGACCCGACCAATGGGCCTACAATTTGGACCCGAGCCCGGCCTTGATAAAAAGCCCGAACCCCGAGCTGAGTTCGCTGCCGGTGATTGCCCCACAAGTCTCTGATATCTCCCAATGTCCTTTACCAGATCACCTTCTGAAGCATTAATTCTGTGATTCTGATTAGTAGGAGTATTGGCAGCCTTTGTTCCAAGCTTCCCTATTTTGTGTAAAAGATCCAGAACATACTTCCTCTAAGAAATAAAAATTCCATGTTTTGATCTTGCAACTTCAATGCCCAAGAAGTACCTCAGCTCCCCAAGATCCTTAATTTCAAATTCTCTGTGTAGATTCTTCTTCAAATTGTCAATCTGACATAGGTCATTTCCTGTGACAACAATATCACCCACATAAGCAATCAGGACTGACACCAAGGATCCCCTCTGCTTCACAAACAAAGTATGGTCTAATTGAATCTGAGTGTAGCCAAAAGCAATCAAGGCCTTCCTAAATCTATCAAACCATGTTCTAGGAGATTGCTTTAAACCATAAAGTGACTTTTTTAGTCTGGATACCTTCCCCTTTTCAGCATCGCTGTAGAAACCAACAAGACGATCCATATACACTTCTTCTTGCAAATCTCCATTCAGAAAAGCATTTTTCACATTAAGTTGAAATAAGGGCCAAGAGTATGTGGCAGTAAGAGAGAGAAGGATCCGAACAGAAGTCATCTTTGCAACTGGTGCAAAGGTCTCTAAGTAATCAATGCCATAGGTTTGTGTGTACCCTTTTGCAACCAGTCTGCCTTATACCTTTCTATACTTCCATCTGCCTTATATTTAATTGTGTAAACCCATCTGCATCCAACAGTCTCCTTGCCCTCTGGTAGATCCACAATTTCCCATGTCTGATTCTTAATTGAGGCTTCCATCTCTTCCTGCATAGCTATCTTCCACTCAGGTTTGGAGAGAGCCTCACTGACACCCTTGGGTATAGACACAGAGTCAAGAGAAGAAAGGAAAGCACGATAGGAAGGAGAAAGTCCACTGTAGGATAGGTACTGTGAAATACAATGAGCAGTACACTTTCTCTTCCCTTTTTTTAGGGCAATAAGAAGGTCCAAGTCATCTGTAATGGGTTTAGTAGAATCAATAGGAACTGAAACATTAGAGGGATCAAGAGGAAGACCTAAATCCATGTCAGCTGAAACTGGAGTCTCCAAGGAACCAATAAGAAGTGATGTGAGTTCTTCTGCAGTGGAACCAACCTCCCTATGAAGTCGTTGTCGTGAGTAACACTGAGAAGCAGGACGCAAAGGAGGTGATAAGGTAGGTGACATAGGAGGATCAGGCACAGATGTGGACACAAGAATTGGAACTGGAAGAGGAATAGATTGCTCACTCACTTCCCCAAAACACTCCCCCTAAGAAGGATCCTTTGAGAAAAAGGATGTGGATCATAGTAACATACTGACTCCCAGAGACTGGATCATAGCAGCGGTACCCTTTCTGATTTTTTGCATACCCAAGAAAAACACATTTCTTTGCCTTTGGATTGAGCTTCAAGTGGTGAGGACCAAGAAGGAATGTGGAACATCTCCCCCTCAGGAAAAAGGAGGCTGAATGGGGTGTTGAATCCAAGTATACGAGAGGGCACCCTATTAATCAAGAAGACTGCTATGAGAACTACATCACCCCAAAACCGAACTGGAACAGTAGATGTGATCATCATGCTTCTTGCAATCTCAACAATATGTCTGTTCTTCCTCTCTACAACACCATTCTGCTATGGACTGTAGGAACAACTGCTCTGATGGACAACACCTTATTCTAACAGATATGAAGCATGGTGTTTTTCAAAAAATTCCCTGGCATTGTTTGATCTAAACACCTTTATTCGTGTTCTAAACTGTGTTAGCACCATCTAATGAAATTGTCTAACCAAGGATGGTACCTCATCTCAGGATCTCATCAAGTAAACCCAAGAATATCGAGAGAAATCATCCACAAATAAGAGAAAATATCGATAGCCACCCATAGAAGGAACATGGTATGGTCCCCACACATCAGAATGAATAACATCAAAAGCAGATGAACATCTTTTATTACTAGCTTTAAAGGAATGTCTACAATGTTTTCCAAGCTGACAATCTTCACACTTTAGACTGAACAAATTAACAGACTCAAAAAGCTTTGGAAATAAGAAATGCAAAGAAGAAAAAGACAAATGACCCAAACGATTATGCCAAAGCATAATCTAACTCACAAACTCTAACTCAATATCCCTACTGACATGATGACCCTGATGATGAGGAAGCGCATCCAGGAGGTAGATTCCATTCACTTCACGACCATTCCCAATCGTCCTCTTCGAATCCAGATCTTGCAAAACACAATGACCAGGAGAAAAAATCACTGAGCAATTCAGTTTCTTAGTCAAACTACTAATAGATAACAAGTTAGTACTCAATCTAGGAACATGAAGGACAGAGGATAGGGAAATGGAATCAATAATCTTGACAGACCCCTTCCCAGCAATGGGAACATGAGATCCATCGGCTGTGGAGACTCTGTCTCTGCCAGGACAGAGTTGGTAAGAAGAAAAAATAGTGGAAATATGGGTCATGTTCTCTGAGGCTCCAGAATCTATAATCCAAGGAGGTCTCTCCTTACCTATAGTAGAAACATAGTTTGCAGTGGCAAGTGAACTACCTGTGTGAGCAAAGGAAGTAGAGTGTGCTCCACCAGAACAACCTGTACCTAGCTGTCCACCTGTTACTAGATTAGGGCTGATTGTATCTCACTGATTCAGGAACTGCCCATATCTCTCAAGTTCAACCCTCACTGCAGTAGCTATAACAGACTCCGGAGTATCTGTAGTAGGAGGGCCAGGTATGTCACTAGTGACTGCCATGTGAGCATTTCCCTTCTTGTTTTTGAGTCTATTCGGCACAAGATGAGGATGAAGCTTCCAACAGGTATCTCTTGTGTGTTTAGGCTTCTTACAGTAATCACAAATCAAATCCTTCTTATCTTCCTTCCTAATTTCAGTGCCACTTGGTTTCACAGTACTGACCATGGCTGATTGTTCAAAACCAAAATTCTTCGTCATCACATTTCTCCTACTCTCTTCCCCTAATACAAAGGCATATGCCTAAGAGAGAGTAACACTGTCACTGGAAAGGATATGCTACCTTGCAATATTATATTCGGGATTAAGACCAACAAGAAATTCAAAAACCCTATACTTCTCTAAGAGCTTCTTGTAGGCAATTGCATCCTTAGTGGTTTCCCAAACAACTGTCTTCAGATGGTCAATCTCCTGTCATAGGGTTTTAAGGGCTGAAAAATAAACAGCAATAGGTCTATCTCCCTATCTGGTAGCAATAATTTGATTCCTCAACTGATAGGTTCTAGCAACATTTTCACTCTGTGAGTAGGATTCTGCAACCCCATCCCATATTTCCTTAGTTGTGTTTGCCCACAAAAAAATTTTACTTATATGGGGCAACATCGAATTACATAGCCAAGTCATTACCATATAATTTTCCTGTACCCATTGAGAGCTATTAGTCTCGGGTTTCACTTCCTCACTAGTGATATACCCCAACTTCCCACGAGCACCAATGGCCATCTTTGCAGATTGTGACCATTCTAAATAGTTTGAACCATCTAACTTAACTGTAGTGATGGTCCCAGCCCCGAAAAGGTCTCCAACACCTCCTCCCACTGGTCTCAGTTCACTCCCGAGTTTGTTTTCAACTCTGTTCACTTCCTCACTAGTGATATACCCCAACTTCCCACGAGCACCAATGGCCATCTTTGCAGATTGTGACCATTCTAAATAGTTTGAACCATCTAACTTAACTGTAGTGATGGTCCCAGCCCCGAAAAGGTCTCCAACACCTCCTCCCACTGGTCTCAGTTCATTCCCGAGTTTGTTTTCAACTCTGTTCACTTCCTCACTAGTGATATACCCCAACTTCCCACGAGCACCAATGGCCATCTTTGCAGATTGTGACCATTCTAAATAGTTTGAACCATCTAACTTAACTGTAGTGATGGTCCCAGCCCCGAAAAGGTCTCCAACACCTCCCACTGGTCTCAGTTCACTCCCGAGTTTGTTTTCAACTTTGTTACCCTCCATAATTCTCAAAAAAGGGTTAGAAGGTCCCTTTAAGATGAAAGAATATGAAATAAATCCCTTCAGGTACCATAGACACCTTTCTGGTACCCCAGATGATCCTCTCACAAAAGATTCCCTTTCTGCAGGACGAAAGAAAAGAGAGAAGAGGCAGCCGCTCTCTCCTGAGACCTCCAAAAAAGGTATGACTTGAACCGCCCTCTTCAGAAAACTCCAAAGAACCCTAAAAAATT